AGGTACTAATCTCGGTGCCTACAATCCACATGTCAAAATGTCCTTGGGCAAGACACTGAACCCCCAAGCTGCCCCCGATGGTTAGAGCCATCGTTTGAGTTGGCGCCGCAGATGGCTGGCTCGGTTCTGTACCGGCCAAATAAAGGTTATTATCCTTATATATAAGTCCTCCTTAGCCAAGTATCACACCTAAATTTATCCCAACAACTTTGCTGACCCACATTGTCTGGAGATATGCCAAAAGAAGGCGACGAGCTGCAAAGCAACGGAACGAACATTACATTCTACATATAAGCTTTTTACAAAAAAGTATATTCAGTTGTAATCACCAACATTTTGATTAGTAACTAATGTAATTACATGTTCTCATTAAATGTAACTGATTACAGTGACATTTATTTTATAATTTAATTACAGTACTGTCCAACACTATGCACTGTACACGGTTTAGATTTTAACTAAAGCCATGTTGCCATGTGGTGCTACATGGAGACGTCGCCTCATCCTGAGCCTTAGCTTTAACTTTTATTAACGCATCACATATGAGGATACATGCGCGTGCCTCTATGCTTGATCTGTACACGTGATGCTGTCCATGTACAGTAACTGCAGGCATATTTTACTCATTTGCATCTGACAGCACAGCTGTGTGCGTGTCAGTGTGGACATTTCATCGCAGCAGGTTTCTGGTCCACATTTAGCATGTTATTGTTCATCTGAGTGAGACTGCTTTGACCTTGAGGATCTTACTAAGAAGACATGTGCTCTGCTCTGCTCAGCCACTCCCTCCATCCTGCCTTTTCGCTGTCAGTCCCCCTTTTTCCTGGTAATTTCTTCATTTCTATCAGTGGCTGATATCCAGCGACTTCAGAAAACATTCAGACCACTTCACCTTTTGCACACTTTACTGCATTGGTAAGATATTTTTGAATGGAAACTATTATTGTTAAATAATTTTTAATTAATACTTTTCACCACCAAATGAAAAAACAAAAAGGGAACCTCTCACCCAGAGACCGGTCCTGGAGCCACTCCAGTGTCGTTGGTCACCTTTGAGCCGTTGTATTGCTGAAAGGTGAACCAGCGCTCTGGTCTCAGGTTTTCTTCCAGGACCTTTCTGTCTGGTTGTATTCATACTTCACTCAGTTCTGACCAGTCTACTTGTTCACCCCCCCAACAGGATGCTGCCCCCACCATTCTTCACCGTAGGGATGGTGTCAGCCGGTGATGTTCTGGAGTCCAAGTTCTGTCTCCTCAGAGCACAGAGTCTTTGTCCTCCTGCTCTCAGATCCTTCAGATGCAGTGAGACAAACTCCAGCAGCTTCATCAGCCTTTCACTCACAGTGGCTCCTGTGCAGCCGCTCGACCATAAAGTCCTGACTGATGGAGAAGCTGCTGAGATGCTTGTCCTTCAGTGGGGACTGCTGGGTTCCTGGTTCCCTCCTTGACCAGGGCCCTTCCTGCTACTCAGTCTGGTCTGATGCCGACTCTAGAAGAGTCCTGCTGGTTCCAGATGTCTTCCATGTCCCAGCCACTGTGCTTCTGGGAACATTTAGAGCTGTAGACACGGTGACCCCACTTGGTTTTTGTCCTGCCCTGCAGTGTGAACTGTGGGACTTTATATGCACAGATGTGTGCCTTTCTAAACTCTCTCCAATCAACTCAACTTGCCACTGGTCTACAGCATCTTCTACTCATGACACTGTTGTTTCCACTGAAGTGCTCGTTCTACTCACTGTCAAATTCAATCCAAGGTCGATAACCAGGTGTCCTCCCTGTGATTCATCCTCCGTCTCTGCTCTCGGTATGCTCATTATAAATACTAGGCTGCTGCCGCCATGAGCTGGCGGTCCATAATGGCCCAAGTGGGCTCTAGTTGCTCCTGTCTAATGACCCATCTCAATAGATCAACAAGGATGGAAGTGACTACAGTCTGGTGCCACAGCAAAGGCTCTGAATACTTTTTGTCAATGAGAGATTTCAGCACTGATTTAACATCCACAAGTGCCAAAGGTGAAGGCTATTGAATGTTTTGGGAAGTCGCCGTATGTTTGTGCCTGCATGTGTTACTGTGGGTTTGCAGATACTAACGTGCTTCCACATCACAGGCAGACCCTCCACTGTTGTGCTCAGGTGCATCAAATTGTCCACAGACTACTTACTTCAGGCAGCCTAGAGCACCGGATTTAAAGGTGGGTGCGTGTTAATGAATTTGTGTGCATGTGTGTGTCCATAATCTTACACCTGAAGCTGTGCATACTAGAAAAAGTAGGATAACGGGACACAGCGGTCTGTGTGGCTCTAAGATTTAAAAGACATCTCTCGTCCCTTGAGACAGAGATGGAGCAACGAAGGTGGAGAGCAACAAGCCTCATGGCGGCTACACGTCTTCTTTCTAAGGGAATTCAAGCTACTTAGTCTTGTTGAGATTTAGAAACCCTATCTTCCTTCAGCGGTCACGACTGTGCAGAGGCCTAGATTTAGGAGCTGTTTATTGAAACACACACTCTTTTGTTTTCAGTGGGAGGCCTGAGATGCCCACGGTGAAATAGATGTTAGCCTGGCATCTTCTGCTCCCATTCATTAACAGCTAGAGGGCTGTTATCAGCCAATCATCTGCCTCCCTTACATGTCCACCCATATCCTGCTCTGGCAAGGATGTGTGTTACTTTTCAGATGTGGAAATGTGTTCATGTTTATTCATATGTGTGTGTGCTCCCGCTCCCCTGAGCTGTAGCTATGCACTCATCCAGTTTTCTGCCCTCTTGTGACCCCCCCTTTTTTTACAGCACTATAGTTCTGTCAGTCTACTGCTCACAGCACTTTTTAACCACCCGTGTGTGTTGCTCTGTAGTGACATGTGCACAAAGACAAGGCTGCACAGCTTGCTCTCGTGTAGGTTTATAGTGTGATTTTATGCAGAGTCAGATATAAAGCAGCACGGTTCTGCTTGTGAAGATAAATATAACTATGCACATTATATTCTGCTGTGTAGTTCAGTGTCATTAACTTTTTTAATATCACATAATGCCATGGAACATCAAACAAACTGATGCCTCAGACAATTTTGTTCTGCTTTCCTTAAAGCTTCCTGTTTAATTTAACAGTTCCAAGATATCAGTGTCAATGTAAGTTCAACAAGTAGAACTACACTGTGGTAATGTGTATTCTGCACCATTTTTCAATAGAACACCCTCCCTAAACACCTTATAAGCTATGATTAATGGTTAATACAATGTTTATTAATGCTTTAAGGACTGGATATAAGCATTAACATTTGAGTTGCCACCTTGATAAGCATCGGGGAGAACCTGCAAGGCACTGAGGCTGCTACTTAGCATTACTAAAGGGTCATTGGCTTCTCAGTCTGTAATAAGCCATAAGCAAAAGTTAATCAGTTACCTCTACTTGTTATTAAATCATCAATAAAGGACTTTACAATAATCAATTTCCCAACAGTCAAAATTGTAATAAACTTTTTTTTTTATAAATGGATTTTGTTCCCAGTGTCCTGTAGCCTTTTTTTTACTGTCTGCTAAATTATATAGCAGCAAAAAGGACAAGCGTTGTGTCTGGAAACTCAAAGACTGAAATATAAAGCATTAGTAACTGATTTGTTAACCAGTAACAGCTCATAAATAGTTATTAAACAGTGTCTTATTAGAAGGTGGCCAAGTATCACGGTGGTATTTTGTACCAACAGGCCTATTTCTCTGCAGCCAGTTACCGTACTGCCTTTTTCTTATGGCTCTACAAGCAACAACAACTGTAGATATAAAGGATAACAAATGGTATCCCCACCATATCATAAGATTTGGTTTTGATTCCAGGTTCTAACACGGTCAGAATCACTAATAACCAAGAATGAAAGTTCTACTGTTAGACGTTTCTGGGGGAAAGTCGTAGCTTTAACTATGAGTTGTTGTTTTGTTTTTTTGTGGTGAGAACTAGTTTTTGAAGGCTCCACACTCATTTTTTGATGCTGCTACATGTGCTCACACACAAAAGCAGTGATGAAATGGTGCTGTGTGGCCAGAACATCTGCTAATATGAAACATCATCATCTGTAGTGATCCTACTGATGCTAATAGTGATACTGAAAACAAGAATTGGCACAGATAATACTGATTTATTGATCCTTGTGTGTCAATTCATCTCCTCCAAGTTAGTGTAAAGGTGGTGAACATGTCGCAGCACAAGTAGCATCAGTATTTATTACATTATTGTGATACTCCAACATATAAAACCACGTTACTTTTCTTGTCTTTTATTTTAATAATAAATCACCTTGTTTTTGTTTTTAGAAAACGGCCATTTGGCCAAAACATCCCATGACTTTATAAAGACTAATACAGCAGAAAACAAAATACTAGTTTCATATGTGAAATGCCTCATAGGTTTGAGAGTTGAAGTGTCATTTAAAAGTTTGACAAGACCCAAAGAGAGACAAGTGAATCAAGCACATGATCAAATAAACTAAACTGAATTTGCAGTATCCATCATGCAATACCTATTTACTAGATATTTCCTTCAAATGTTATAATTACTATTAAAATCCAAAGAATAAATTGACTTAAGTCTGCATTTGCACTAACTGTTAAGAGTTTTGTTGCACAATAGCATCTACAGTAACAGTTTGATCCTTGAAGCAGCCACAGTGCATGAACAAAGCCAGAAAACAAGGAGGCTGCACTGTACTTTCAATCAAAGTTAAACCCACTATTCCATGTTGAACAATACAAACCAACAGAGAACAATCCTGCAAAACGCTCTGCCTTTCAGTTGCACCATTTTGCATCCCAGTAAACCATGCAAATGACAGACAAAATACGACATCTTAGTAGTAGCATTATTTTGAACAAATTCATTTGAAGAAAAGGTATACAATTTAAATTTGAAAGGTGGTTTTAAATCTAATGTGTGTGTTTTTACCAACAAGTGAGTCTCCAAAGTTTTCCCAAGAGCGG